CTAAGTTCATGGCCGCTGCACCACTGTCCCATATCTGAAATGGAGAGCCCACCACTCTCCAGAGGTTGAATGGATTTCCACCACCTGAAAGCAGCAGCCACGTAGACATTAGTTAATGGGAGGTGGAGCTCAATGATGCCACATGTTGACATGGAAGTACCCCACTTCTTCTTTCATCTCCAAGGCGTGCACCATCATGTGTTTATCTTGGGAACAATCTCAATCAGCCTACTAGTCTATTTCAGAGAATTGTTTCATAATAAATCAGAAGATCTTGATGTCTCCCTCTTGGAGGAAAAAGTAGACTGAATATAAAGGAGAATATTTGTAGGATAGAAATGATTGCAGTTGTGTTTCCAATATAGTCTATTTTTTTTTTAGGGGTCCTTGGTGCTCTCTGAGCTTGGTGGTTTTCTTGCAGATGTTTGATGACACATTAGGCAACAGCATCAGTGCTAGAAGGGTTAGCACAAATTAACCCCTCCCTTCTAACACTGATGATGTTACTTAACTGAGTAATGAAATGTTTTCAACCCCCCCCCAAAATAAGCTCTTGGCCTTATTTTCAGGGAGGTCTTATTATTTTTGAGGTGCAGGAAGCGGCGAGTGTGGTCACCTCATGGCTGCTGCTGTGTTGCAATATTTTCAGGGAGGGCTTATTTTTAGCGCATGCGCTCAAAAGCCCAATTGGGCTTATTATCCGGGGAGGTCTTATTTTCAGGGAAACAGGGTACTCCCTTCTTGCTCTCCATTTTCATAATCTCTTGAAACTCGAGATGATCGAAAAGATGGACCAGACCATCACGGAAGGCTGAAAGCAAGACTTGTCACCCACACGGAAGGCCTTCGTTAATGTTTTCCCGCTTCCCAAAATTTTGGCTGAGAAATTCTCCGCAAATCTTAGGGAACACTTGCATAAACACAAAAAGAACAACTGCGCTTTCATTCCTGCAACTATATTAAAAAAAAAAAAAAACACCAACACCAACTAATATTTCTATCAGTACCATCAGAGAACGAATCCAACTGCTAGAATTTGAGGCTCCCAGATGCCATCTAGGTTAGGTTAAAAAAGAAAAGCCAATTAAACAAAGACCCGCAAATTCTACACAAAGGATCTAAGCTGCCTTTCCTGTCTCCAGGTGCAAGGGGAATTCGTTCCAACGGTGTCGGTTATATATGAGCCTGTCTATTGAGCAAAGGAAAATGCTCTTGGGTTCAGTGGTCAGGTCTAGGACAGTTACAATCATCTGATGCAGAAATGCATGCACACCCAATGTTGCCATGGTACGTGCTACCAAACTCTGGGATTATACCCACCTTCGTTCTATTTAACTATACACTGGCTCCAATTCACGCACTGTGCTAGTGCCATTCAAATGACTTGTGCCGTTTGGCCATAATACACATGCCTATCCAGCCAGGGGCACGGCAAACCGTGGTTTCGCAGCTTTAAACGCCTTACACAAACACAACGAGGCTTTCCCTTTTCCCGATTTTTGCAAACCACGGTTAAATCGCGACAGGCAGTCCCTCAACATGACCACCGCAACAGAGCCCACAATGTAAGCTGCTGAGTGAGCTTTGCCCCCATCGGATGGCTTCCCTTGCCACGCTCGTTAAAAGAGAATCGTGGTTAAATTAGCTAACAGGTTTCCCAATTGAATCTGGTGTCCTCATCAATTTTGTGCGTCAGAAGGTCCTCCAAAGGGGGATTCTGGGACACTGCAGCGGTCGTAAAAGTGAGACGGTTTGTCAAGGCATCCGAATGTAAAGGACACGGCCACAGGGAGACTCACAAAGGGCCATGAAGTGTGAAAAACGGTTGTAACTTGTTTAGTGGCTGTTAAATCCAGGACTGCCTGTATTTGGTTCATAAGGCATAGGAGCCTAACCTCAAGGTTCCTAGTGTGAAGAAGACCATCTGTTTCCCACCTCTACCTCATTCCCCGGTCAGATTGGACTAGCGTAAAACTAAACAGATGTCTTATTACCTGGCTGTGAACTAAAATTCCCAGGAAGCCTTACCTATGCCTCTTGTTAAGTAAATATTTTGAAATGCTGGACAAAGTGTAATTCTGTTGGCAAGCAATCCGGACTTGCAAGAATCTGTCCAGGTGTAGCCTCTACCTGGACAGACCTGAGAAGCGTCCTGCCTTCCAATCTGGCAGTTAGAAGAGTTGGAAGGGACCTTTGGAGGTCATCTAGCCCAACCCCCCCAATCCCTATACTAGGGGATTCGAACCGCCGAACTGCCAAGCTTTCTTATCGAGAAGCTCAGCGTCTCAGCCAGTTCACAAGCCCCCGCCCCCCCGCCCCCGTCCTTCCCGAAAAAGCCACAAGAGGCGAGGTTCACTCATGGCCATTAAGCCAGGTTTCTTTAACTCTGATCTAACCAGGTCTCGGATCTAACCAGGCACATCAGACCAAGAGCAGCAACAGGGAAAGATCCACAATATCTGGAATCCACCCGAATGCCAGCAAACAGATCACATGACTTACACAATTGGGGGGGGGGAGCCACACCAGAGAGTAGCGCAAAAATTGTGGAGGGAAGCTCAGGGGGTGTGCTGTAAGGGGGTGGGCAGGGAGTTTCCTTAACAGGAAGGGAAACCCCCTCCCCCTCGAGAGAAAGAGGAACAGAAAGCTTAACCTAGGTGGGCTTTTGAGGAATGATTTTATAAACCGGTTAAGGGTGGGTGGGTGCAACCCTGAGCAAAAGGGAGGGTGGGCAACTCTGCCAAGGGGCTTTTTCGGGGGGGGGGGGGCTTCCTTACAAGCCCCTTTCCCACCCACCCCACTTTGCAGGCTTCCTTGGCGCAGGCTGTTCCAAGGGCAGGAAAAGGGGGTCTCAAAGCTCCATCAGCTGCCAGCCTGCGGGGCATGGCTGGTCCCAGAAAGCAGCCCCCAACCACACACCCACACCTCCTTCCCCCCCCCAGCCCAGTCTCCCCCCCCCAGCCCAGAAGGCAAAAAGCTCACTTTTGCAGCCTTATGTGAGCCGCATAAATAATGCGGCTCAAAGCAGCATGATTAAGGGGAGGGGGGGAGAAACGGGGGGGGGGACGCAAGCAGGGAGGAAAAAGAGAGAGAGAGCTCAACTGGAGGGGAGGGAGGGAAAGAAGAAGGAAGGAGGGAGGGAGGGAGGGAAGGAAGGCGAGGGACGGAGGAGGGGAGGCCGATCCCAGATTCCAAGAAAAAAGCGCTTTCCAAGGCAACTTCTCACGGTTGGGTCCGCCGTTTGCTTCCCTTATATGGGAAAGAAAAAAAGATCTTTTTTTTTTCTCTCTCCAGCCGGGGCCTCTGCGCTGCAGCCAGCCGTCAGTCAACCCTCCCCTTCCTCGCCCTCCCCGCTGCCTTTTTCCTCTGCAATTCTTCCCCCTTCGGGCTCCGCATCGGGGCTGGGGAGGGGAGGGGGGGGAGAAAGGAAAAGAGGGGGGGTGTCTGGCGAGAAAGGGGGTGAGGGGGCTCCGCCAGCTCAGCAAAGAGCCGGGGAATTGGGGGTGGGGGGCTGCAGGAGGAGCCCAAGCGCCCGAGCGCGCATCTTAAAGCAGCCGGCGGAGAGTCTCTGCGCCAAGGTCAACCCTGCGCTGCAGCCAGACTCGGGGAGAGGGGAGGCGGGTGCAGGAGGAGGAAGGGGCGGCAGGGGACTCCCAACACCCCCCCCCCAAAAAAGAGGCATCGGGGGCCCGGACAGAGGATCCCGGGGCTCCCCACCGCCCGCGCAGGCAATAAAAGCCGGGAAGCGGGGCTGCAGGAAGACCAACCAAAGAGGAGGGGGCTTGGCAAGGCGTCTAGGGGTTGCAGCCAGACTCGGGGTGGGGGGAGGCGGGTGCAGGAGGAAGAAGGGACGGCAGGAGATTCCCAACCCCCCCCCAAAAAAAAGAGGCATCGGGGTCCGGACAGAGGATCCTGGGGGTCTCCAAGGTCCGCGCAGGCAATAAAAGAGGAGGTTGGGGCTTTGCAAGGCGGGCTCGGGGGCTGCAGCCAGACTCGGGGAGGAGGAGGCGGGGAGGGGGGTGCAGGAGGAGGAAAGGGCGGCGGGATACCCTCCCCCTTAAAAAAAGAGGCATCGGGGCCCGGATAGAGGATCCCACTGGTCCCCCCCCCCCCGTCCCGCGCAGGCAATAAAAGAAAGCCGGATTGCGGGAAGCCAAGGAAAGGGGGCTGCAAAAGCGGGCAGAGCTCCGGAGCCGCAGCCGGGCGGAGAGAGAGTGGAGAGGAGAAGAGGCAGGGCCGGGGAGGGCGACGGGGGACGGACGCTTACCCAGCCGCCGTGCGCCTCCAGCCAGTCCCGCCGTTCCTCGGCCAGGTAGGCGGCCAGCGCCTCGACCAGCGCGCCGCTGTGATCCCGGGCTCCCCGCTCGGCCAGCGCCGCCGCCAGGTTGCCGGCGAACACGACCAGCGCCACCACCCGGCCCCAGTTCAGGCCGCCTTCGGCTTCCATCTGCGTGGCCACCCGGCCCAGCCAAGCCGCCGCCTCGCCGGGCTCGGGCAAAGCGGCGGCGCTGCAGGCGTCTCGGAAGAAGAGGCGCTCGCGGCTCTCCAGCTCGTCGGCTACCCGGCGCAGCGTCTCGGCCGTGCGGCTCGGGGCCGGTACAGCCGCCGCCCCCAGCCGGTGCTGCACGTAGTCGCCCAGCAGCTGCGCCGTCTCTTCCCGCAGCGCGCCCGGCATGCTTGGCCTCTCCCTAGCCGGACTGGCCGGACTCCGGGCGGGCGGCGCAGCGCAGCGCTTGGGCGGAGGAAGAGGCGGCGGCGGCGGCGTCCAACAAGGCCCAGTACCGGCGCCCGCCGCTGCCTAAGAAGCCGCCTCCGCCCCCCGATTGCCCACGTGTCGGGCCGGCTTCTGCGGCTCCGCCTCCCTAGCTCCGGAGCTGCGGTGCGTCGCCGCCTCTCG